AAAAGGTTTTGGCTTATACAGCTTGGCTTATTCTGAATATGTATCAGTCATTCCTTCTCAAAGCATATCACTTTGAACAAAGTTGGGCCATCCAGATGTTTTGAGCCACTTCTTCATTTAGCCCACTATCCTGCTATTTCTATCAAATAAATTGCTATTTTGATATATGGAAATGTTACATTGAGGTGAGAGTAGCACAAAAAAGGTTTCATAAAAGAAAGAAAAAAGAGAGAGAGAGAGAAAGTCCTCATTCAACAAAGCCTGGATAATTTCTGAAAAGTATGCTGAATTGGAATTAACTCAAGGGGAATGGTTTTGATTTGGTTTTCGTTTATGCTGAAAAAAGAGGCTGTAATCAGTAAGTTCTTCTTTTGTGAGCAGTTGTTAACAAGCTAGTTAGCCAAGAAATAAAGTTGAGAATAGTAAATAAAAGTGTTAAATAAACTTTATAGAAAAAGCCTATTACTAGTCAATCTATTCTCTTCAGAGAAAGGCCTACAATTATCTGTACACAATATCAACTAACAACTTTAACTAGATTCTGGTTTCTCACCTTGTGATAAAATCTACACAAGAGAGGATGATACATCTCGGAAAACGTAACCCAAAAGAAAGTTGTAAATTTTTTGCAGAGAAATTTTAGATGAAAACAATGGAGAAGTTCTTGACTCGGTTTTTCTCTGTTTCTACCAGGGGCCCTGGTAACGCTGTATAGTAGTAGTAAGCAATGGACTGCCACCCATAGGGTCCACAGTTCAAACCTACCAGACACAAATGTGGACTTGTACTATGTGCCTAGGAGCCCTGGTGGCATGGTGGGTTATATGTTGGGACTGCTGATTGCAAGGGCAGCAGTTGGAAACCACCAGCTGCTCCATTGGAGAGAGATGAGGGGCAGTTCTACCCTGCCCTACAGGGTTTCTATGAGTCAGAACTGACTCAATGGCAGTGAGTTTGGTGTTGAGTATGTGCCTACAATTATATTTTTAAGTTTTCTCATGCCCTGGTGGTGTAGTGGTTAGGTGTTGGATGATGTGCATGGTCAGCAGTTCTAAGCCACCGGCAGTTCCGTGAGAGAAAGACGGGGTTTTCTGTT